ACAGCAAACATACAACATGGAAGCACAATGGCGTTGAAAGAAACACAAAAGCGGGGAGGCGGCGAGGGTTAAACCAGAACGTCGGTTTAACTGAGCAACGCGCTGCGCTGAAAGAGGCAAATACATGAGGTGCATAACGGGGGCAGAGATTCACCCCAAAGTGGAGACAAACAGGGCACGGCAGCAAACCCAAAGAAAAGAACCCAAAAGTGAAAGCAAAAGGTCGCGGCCTCGAGGATAAGCAGGAGTACCCAGTCACCGCGTGGGAGCTACCTCCGATGGGCCTCCCAGGAGCCCACGAAAATGGTGACAGTTGCGCAGATCGCAAGCCCCCCAGGGGGCAGCGAGGTCCCGAAGTGCTCCGCGTATGGTGTACATTCGCTGGGCCTCCCAGGAGCCCACGCCGCCCATGACGTGCCTCCGCTGGGCCTCCCAGGAGCCCACGAAAGTGGCGAAAGTTGCACAGATCGCAAGCCCCCCAGGGGGCGGCGAGGTCCCGAGGTGGTCCGCGTATGACGTACCTCCGCTGGGCCGCCCAGGAGCCCACGCCGCGCATGACTTGCCTCCGCTGGGCCTCCCAGGAGCCCACGAAAGTGGCGAAAGTTGCACAGATCGCAAGCCCCCCAGGGGGCGGGGAGGTCCCGAGGTGGTCCGCGTATGACGTACCTCCGCTGGGCCGCCCAGGAGCCCACGCCGCGCATGACGTGCCTCCGCTGGGCCTCCCAGGAGCCCACGAAAGTGGCGACAGTTGCACAGATCGCAAGCCCCCCAGGGGGCGGGGAGGTCCCGAGGTGGTCCGCGTATGACGTACCTCCGCTGGGCCGCCCAGGAGCCCACGAAAGTGGCGACAGTTGCGCAGATCGCAAGCCCCCCAGGGGGCGGCGAGGTCCCGAGGTGGTCCGCGTATAACGTCCTCCGCTGGGCCTCCCAGGAGCCCACGAAAGTGGCGACAGTTGCGCAGATCGCAGCCCGACGGCACGAGAGAAGAGGAGAGGGGAGCAGGGGGAAAAAAAGAAAAAAAAAACGATAACCCAACACAGGAGGGTTGGGATTTAACATTCCAGCGCTAAGTTCAAACTCGACCAACCCGAATAGTCAGACATGATGCAACAAACAACATGCAACGCGAATGCAGCAAACTGCAAAGCAACACCAACTACACTGCAAAACAAGTATGTGTCGGTCGTAGTCGTTTGCGCTGCCTCTCTGGACTTGCTCTAAACCACTCTCGCCTGCATCCCAAGCTAAGGCTTCGGCACTAAGCTCAAACCAGACCAGCCAGCCCAGATGCCAGATGTAACACAAACTGCAATGCAGAACAAGCTGCAAAGCAACACAACTGAAATGTATGACAGAACGGTTTCTCGGTGGTCCTAGTGGTTGGCGCTGCCTCCCTGGATTTCCCCTACACCACTCTCGCCCGAATCCTAAGATAAGACTCAAACCAGTCCAACCAGACTGGCCAGATCAGATCTGAAGCGTCAAGCTCAAGCCTGAGCTTCAGGAGCGCTCTTTGGAAGCTTGGCGGACCGCCGTGCGCTACACGGCTAAGAACGTTACACCTATAGTATTTATATATACACAGCTTTAACATATGTACATATGTGTATATATATGTGTGTATATATGTGTGTTTACACATGTATTCCCTACCTAGGCTCTGCCTAGAAGGGTTCTTAACCTGTTTGCTTAAAGGGCCGGGCAGTGCAACCCGCCCCGGGCGGTTCCCCCGGCATCCGCCCCGTGGTTCCCCCAGTGACGTCTTTTTAGCTTAGCGTTGCTTATCTCATCTTAGCTTAGCTTATTTCATCTTAGCTTAGCTTACCTTCATCTTAGGTTCGCCGAGCTTTAGCATAGCAGAGCACAGCATAGCATAGCAGAGCGTAGCACAGCACAGCGCAGCACAGCATATCATAGCAAAGCCCAGCATAGCACAGCATAGCGCAGCATATCATAGCATAGCATAGTGCAGCACAGCACCGCACAGCATAGCACCGTGCAGCATAGCATAGCATAGCAGAGCAGAGCATATCATAGCATAGCACAGCGCAGCATGACATAACATAGCTTAGCATAGCATAGCATAGCGCAGCATAGCATAGCATAGCATAGCATAGCATAGCGCAGCATAGCATGGCATAGCGTAGCATAGCATGGCATAACATAGCATAGCATAGCAACTGATACTGCTTTCCTAGGGGGTCCAACTTCTAGGTAGGGTCGCACTGGGGTAATGTATGTCCAGCGCCTGGACCTCGGGAGGCGTCGAGGGATAGGAGTGCAAATGCTCGAGCCACCATGGGGCCCTGGGGCCGACATGCATCCATGTGTCTCCACGTCCACCGCCCCCCCCCCCACCCTCGGGCCCCAGGACGTCAGTTGCCCTGGCGGTGAGTGTGCGCAGATGCCCGCCTCGCACGCTGCAAGCGCGGGGATATACCCAGACGTCGTGGCGTCGCGCGACGAGGCGGGAGAGTCGCATCCAGGGGCACGTCATTCTAGGATGCGGGCATCCAGGGCGCATCAAGGAACGACCCGCGCCGCTGAGCCGGTCTCGGGGACGGGGTCGAGAGTTCTGGGGCGCTGCCTGCGACAGTACCCGCGCCATGGGCAGGTCTCAACGCCCCAAGGGTCCGGGCACGAGCCTGGTGCGCAGGCCACCAGGGAATGAGCGGGAGGGCTCCAACTGCAGATCCTCCTCTTGCAAAAAGGGGAGATTCTTCGAAGGTGGGTAGAAACCCCAGCCCTACCAAGTCGATTCAGATCGAATTGGCCTATCATCGGTTCTCGAGAGGATGTTGTGGCCGCATGTCTTGCGAGCCTTCTCCCACCGGGTCAGATCCTCGGTCGTTATCGCTAGGGGGTATTTTGCTGAACGGGTGTCCGTCCACCCTCGCATTTTGCAATCGTGGGCGGAGGCGCGGCCTACAGATTCGACGCCACCGCCGCCGCCAGAGGAGGTGAGGGTGGCGGCGTTGGATGATAGTGGTCCTCCCCCACCTCGTCCTGCGGCGAGTACGGCACGCCGCGGTTGTTGAGATATGTTGCAAGCGGCCCTCGCGTTTTCTGGGTCCACCGTGAGCCCTCTTGGGGCCACCGTGGACCGTCTTGGGGCCGTATTGGGTTGTCTTGGGGCCATCTTGGGCCATCTTGAGGCCATCTTGAGCCATGTTGAGGCCCAAGAGACCCAAATCATATATTCTCTGTAGGTTTTGTGTGGTTCTTGAAGCCCAGAAGGGGGGTGGGCACCTTTGTCACGGATGTTGCGTGATTCTGGTGGGGGTGGTGGGGGATTACATAATTAGTCATTCGTCCTCCCATTTCTTCGGGGCAACTCCTTGGAGATTCAATTCGGAGTCAGCGCTAGTAGATCTGTGGTCGAAAACCGGCCTACTCAGGTAGTCCCGTTGTATACCGCATTATCCAGCTCAGTCGGGCTTAATCCCCGGCCTATTCTGGCTTTGCTGGCTTGATGACCCCCGAAACGGGCTTGACAGCACGCGCGATCTTGCGAAGACCTCCCAGGGGTTGTTTCATCATAGCATCACCACCATCATCACCACATGACCATGCCCATCGCCATCACCATCGCCATCCTCATCATCATCAGCAGCAGCATCAGCAGCATCATCACCATCACCATCACCATTACCATCATCATCAGCAGCAGCATCAGCAGCATCATCATTACCATCACCATCACCATCACCATCACCATCACCACCATCACCATCATCATCATCAGCAGCAGCAGCATCATCATCATCATCGTCATCATCAGCAGCAGCAGCAGCAGTTCCGTAAAATAGCTATGGCGGTTCAAGGCTGTTCGCCCAGGTCCAGCCGGTGCCTCCTGACTCCCGCCAGCTCCTCCTGCAGCCGCGCAGGCGACAAGCCGCCAGCCAGCACTGCCAGGCGGCTGCAGGCCCGTGAATGCCCAGCGCCTGCAGCGAAGACAGGCTGCTCCCCAGCGAGGACCGCGGCGGCGAGGCCCTGCCCAGACCCCCGACGCCGGGACTCTTCGCGACGTCGACCCCCCGAGGTCTGGACCCCCTCCCCCCGGGACGGGCTTCCCGTCCCGAGTCGTCTGTTGGCGGTCCCGCGGGGCCCAGGGAGGGCCCCCGGGCGAGCGAAAATATCGGGGGCGGAAAAGAGGGGGATAATGACTAGGGGGGGGGGGAGTATCGTGGCGGGGGCCATGATATTTCCCCAGATTTCATGGCGCCTCTTCTTGTTTCATTACGTCCCTGGCCCCCCCGCTGGGCCGCGCACATGCCGCCGGTCATGATTTGCACCCCGCCCCTCTTGGACACCCCCCTCTTGGCCGCGCCCGAAAATAGCGAAACATTTTGTTCCGTCGCGATTTTTGTTTGTTCATAGCGCGAGGGGCCTGGGCCTCCAGCGAGGACAGCGACGGGGAGGCCCTGCGCGGCGCGGGCCCGCCTCGGCCGCCGGCCGGCTGCCTCCCCGGCGCCCGCCGGCCCGCCGCGGGCGCGCTGCTGGCGGCCGCCGCGTGTGCGGCCGCGGCCGCAACGTGCCACAGCGGCCCGGGGGGCCCGGCCCGCGGCAGCGGCCCCGCGGGCGCGGCGGGCGCCCTGCTGCGCCTCTGGGACACCGCCGCGGGCTCCTGCGTCCCCGCGGAGTGCCCTCGGCCTTGGCGGAGCGGAGGGGGAAAGGGTGCGCCCGCACCGCGACCCCTCCGCCCTCTTTTTGTCCCTTCTTCGGCCTCCCTGGGAGGCCCTCGAGATTCTGGTCAGCACGCACCCGGAGAGAAGTCTGGGGAGCATAGTACCTTTTTTCGGATGCAACTCCCGGGAGGTCAAGTTCTGATTTTGCCCTGGTCCGAAGTCCGGCTTAATCCCGGCCGCTCAATCCGGCTTAATCCAGCTTAAATCCGAGGCCCACTCCGGCGTAACAGCCCCCCAAAGGGGCTCAGTCTTTTTTAACCCTTCCGACGAAAACCTCCCAGTAGTTGCCTCCTAACCTTTTGGTTTCCCCAGGCTGAGGGCCAGTGTGGCGCCCACACCAGCACCCACTGCAAAGAGCGCGCACGGAGCCCGAGGGAGAGTGCACGCAGTGACCGTCTACTTTTGGAGCTCCGTCCAGCTTTCTTGGTCCGGCGCTGGGGCCCCCTGGTCGCAGGCCTAGAGGGGTTGCCACCAACACCGAGATCGGCGGTGTGCCTCCACTGAGGGAAGACGATCCCAGGCCAGCCATAACTGGGGGAGCTGTGGTCCTTACCCCCCTGGGGGATCCATCGATTTCGACACCCCTCTCGAGAGATCGTCGATGCGATGGGTTCCCCAGGGGGGTAAGGACCACAGCTCCCCCAGTTATGGCTGGTCGGGATCCCGATCTCGGTGATGGTGGTAATATTCTGGCTTCCAAGGCGGCCGAAATAATACTACCACCAACACCGAAATCTAGGATCATCTCCCCCCTGTGGAGGCAGCCCCCTCTGTTGGTGTTGGTGTCAATTTCCAAGCCTCCAACCTGGCCGCGTCTGCGGCGCCGCTCCCGGCGCGCTCCACGCGCCAGGGAGGGGGTCCAGCGCCGATCCACGAGATCTGCGCGGAGGTCCAGAAGTGTATGGTCGTATCGTTCTCACTCCCTCTGCCGAAAGCGCACCCCAGGCGGCAGGTCCAGCACCCACGCTGGCACTCGCCTCGGGAAAGCCCCCCCCAGCGGCTACAATGGCCGCCTCCCCGTCGGCCACCTCCCCGTCGCCCTCGCCGGCGCCCACGCCACCGCCTACGCCACGACCGCCATCGGAAAAGCCACTCCCAGCACTTACAATGGCCACCTCCCCGTCGGCCACCTCCCCGTCGCCCTCGCCGGCGCCCACGCCACCGCCTACGCCACGACCGCCATCGGAAAAGCCACTCCCAGCACTTACAATGGCCACCTCCCCGTCGGCCACCTCCCCGTCGCCCTCGCCAGCGCCCACGCCACGGCCGCCAGTCTTCACGGTCGACGTGGCGGCCGCAGCTGTGGCCGACATCGTCGCCGCGACCGAGGGCGTGGCGTCCAACCCCGCCGACCTGTCCCCCGCGCTCTGGCCCCAAGAGAACAAGACCCTCCTGTTCGTTGGCCAGGACAACGGAAACATCGAGGAGTACGTGGAAGCCTTCGGGGCCCCGCCAGGGTTCAGCGTGTACGTCTCGAGGGAGAAGAAGCGGCACAGACACAAGCGCTCGGCGCTCCGAGGACTTCCTGGCTCGGCGCCCGGCCCCATTGGCGGCGCCTCTGGCGCCGCCCCTGGCGCGCAGAGCGCGCCAGGGAGGGGGGTCCGGCGCGGATCCCAGAAACCCGCGCGGACCTCTAGGAGTTTGTGTTCGTGCGGTTTCTCTTCCTCCAATACGTCAGCATCTCCGACCTGCACGCGGGTCTCTGGGGGCCAGGGGACTGGGGCGCCGGGATGCTCTGCGCCGATTGCTTGCTGCGGGAGCACGGCCCAGGCGTGGCATTTAACCTGGCGGTCGGCATCGTGGACATGGCCGACGACGTGGTCGCGGGGGCGTGGGACGACAACATTCGGGCCGGGCGAAAGGGGGGGAGTGGGAAAAGGGGGGGTTACGAAATTTGCTGCATGTAGCTGGTTTCGGCCCCACCGAGGGGCCCATTCCTCGATACATGGCCGCCTCCAGCGCCGGGAGGCGCCGGGAAAATCAGCTACGTGAGGCTCACGTCGTGAGCTGATTCTCACCCCCCCCCTTTGCTATCCCCCCCTTTCGCCCGACCCGACACATCAGGAGCTTAGCGGCGTGGGTCAACAAGATCGAAGAAGAAAACACAGCAGAAGCATGAACTGTTGAAGGTCCGCGCGGGTTTCTTGGATCGGCGTGGGTCTCCCTTGCCGGCGCCTCTGGCGCCGCCCCTGGCGCGCTCCGCGCGCATCCGAAGAAATCCGCGCGGACCTCCCAAAGTGTATGTTTACACTGCTTTTTCTTCCTCGAGAAGACAGGTGGGCCCGTGTACATCCGCCCCGGCTACGAGTTCGACGGGACGTGGAACCATTTTGAGCCCGTGACGTACAAGTCGGCCTATCAGCATTTTGTCGACCTCTTCCGGGCTGCGTACGTCGCGAACGTGCTCTGGGTTTGGCATTCGGCCCTGAATCTCCCCACGTACCAGGGACACGACCGGATGGAATGGTATCCGGGCGACGGGTACGTGGATTTGTTCGGCGTCTCGGTGTTCACCGCGCTCTACGCGGACGGGCACCCATACAAGGAAGACAACGCATCTACCATGGAGGACCTCAAGAGCTGGACCAGGGTGGCGGCCGCCCGACGCAAGCCACTGGCGATCGTGGAGTCGACGGCGCGCAGCTACAACATGTCAGATCTGGGCGCGTCTGGTGCATGGGGCAGCTGGTTTCAGCCGATGTTTGAGTTCCTGGGGCAGAACGATATACGGCTCTTCGCGTACATAAATTGCAATTGGGATATCCAGCCCATGTGGAGCGGGGGCAATTGGGGCGACACCCGCCTGCAGGCCAACGAGTTCTTGGCAGCCTCGTGGACGAATGAGATGAACAAGACGAGGTGGAAGGGCGTATTCTTGCCCATTCCTTGACGCGGAAGATAGGGGAACGAAGAATGACATAAACATAACAATTCGGAGGTCCGCGCGGATTCCTCGGATTGGCGCTGGACCCCCCTCCCTGGCGCGCGGAGCGCGCCAGGGGCGGCGCCGGAGGCGCCGCCAGGGGGCCCCAGCGCGGATCCGAGAAATCCGCGCGGACCTCCGAGTTTTTATGTTTATGCCATTACTTGTTTCCCTAAGGGAGCGGATTCCTATGTCACGATTCAGGCCATTATCTCATTTTAATGCCCTGCGAATGCCACTGTTAATGCCATTGAAGTATGCCATTCTGCAATTTTTTGTTTGTTTCTGCCATTGCCACTGTTTGTTTATTTCCGCCTCTCCTGCGGAGGCACATCCCTGGCGGAGGGGGCTCCTCGCCTGCACAGCCACGGGCGTGAGAGCGTGCTCGTCCGCTGCTCCCGCGGCGCCCCCTCGCATAGGCACGGAGTCCGGGCCGCGCAGGTCGCGGGCAGCGCCCGCTGACGCCTCGCGCTGCGCGCAGACAGTCCACCCAGGCAATCCGAAGTCGGGCCTGTCCCGCTACAGGAGGAATATTCGAAAACAGTCAAGACATAGTCAGGGGACGATTGTTCGACTGTTTGTGCATATTTTTTGAATATGTTTGGCTTCTTCCTTCAGAATCCGCCTGCAGGGGGACATGCCCGACCTAAAGGTAATCAATCCTGAAGAGTCTCAAGAGGCCTCCCGAGTCCCTGAGTAGCACAGAGCCGTCTCAACACCTAAACCCTGGGGCGCGGAGCGCCCCAAGGGGCGCCGCCGGAGGCGGCGCCAGGGTGTGGAGAACGCCCTGGACGGCTCGGGGGCCTGTCGAGGCCAGCCTGAACTACGGTGGGGGCGTTCGTGAAGGAGTGTGCCAAGGAGGCTTCAGATCCTGTAGGATCTCATCCGATGAGGGCGGCGCTGATGTCCATGGCCAAGCCCCAAGAGGTGTTCCACCGGCTTTCCGACCCTGGGTGGCTTCTCCCAGGGTTCCTCGCCCCATGCCCTCACGGTTCATGCGGGGCTGCCTGTGCGCAGCCCGAAGTCTTACCAGTGCCGGCAACATAGATTTGGCATTGTTTTCCACCTCTCCTCACCCTTGGCATCGCTCGGACGTGTGCATTTTTCCTTCGGCGAGGACCATCGAGGAGCATCCTTGATGATTTGGCGAAAAAACCACGCACGAAACCAAACAAAAACACAGGGAATGGATGTCCGAGCGATGGCCAGGGGTTGCTATCCCAGGGTTCCTCACCCAATGCCCTCACCGTTCGTGCGGGGCTGCCCGTGCGCAACCCGAAGTCTTACCAGTGCCGGCACGCACGGCAGATTTGACATTGTCTTCCGCCCCTCCCCACCCCGCTGGCGAGCGCGCCCTTCGGGACGCGGGCGGCAGCGGCATCGCCGCCGTGACGTGGCGCCCCTCCTCGCTCACGAGCGGCTGCAGATGCGGCACGCCGCCAGTGCCGCGCGCCGCAGCCCCGCCGCACAGCCCCAGCGCTCTCGGCACGCGGCGTGACGCGTGCGCGCGGCAACCCTCCGATCTTGGCATCGGTCGCGATCGGTCGCGACCGATTTTGGGGTGCCGATCAGTCGCTAACGATCGCGACCGAAATCAACTAGTATGGGCGACACTCAAACACACTAACACTGTGTGCGCGTCGCTCCCAAAAGGGACGACGCGCGCCGAGAGATCTCACACTGTAAGTATGCTCGGTGGCGGGCGATTCCTGGCCAAACCGCTCGGGAAGCGAGACACTACACGGTGTTTGCACTAAGTGTTAGATTCGGAGGGGTGCTTCCAACAGAAACACGCGTACTAGTATCAAGTCGGGCCTGTGCCTCTACAGGAGGAAAATTCAAACATAGTCAAAGCATAATCTGGGGACGATGTTTGTAGTACTTGTGGCTATGTTTGGTGTATTCTTTTTTGGGAGGCAATTTTCAATGTTTCGTCCAAAATCCCCATGTCGTAGGGGGGCACGCCCGACTTAATACTGGTATGCCCTTCTGTGTCGCATAGTGCAAGGGAGGAAAAACCACCCAGACCCCCCGACAATTGGCAATGACTGGACGGCCCTGGGCGTTTACGCAACAGCCCTGCCCTGTTCGATTCCTTCCCTGGGTGCGTTTACTACACGGCTTTGCTTGGTGGGCGTTTTCTGCTTCCTTGTTGTGCCGATCGGCGCGCCCCCTCGCCCCCCCCCCCCCCCCCCCCCCTCCTCCTCCCCCCCGATGGAGTAGATCTTGGCTGTTTGGGGCGCCTGGTTTTAGCAGGTGGGGCCCCTCCCCCCTCGGCCGCACTGCTGCAAACAGTCGCACCAAGCAGAGGGTCGGAGCCCGACCCCCCCCCGCCCCCCTCCCCCTCCCCCTTCCGCCCAGGACCTGGTCCTCCTCGCTCCTCCTCCTCCTCCTCCTCCTCACTCCTCCTCCTCCTCTCCTCCTCCTCCTCCTCCTCCCTCTCCTCCTCCTCTTCCCTCTCCTCCTCCTCCTCCTCCTCCTCCTCCTCCTCCTCCTCCGGGGCACTCCCATGACCCGGGCCGCTTCCGCTCCCGCCGAGGCCCACGACGCGACGGCCAGGCCGGCCCTGCTGGACCCCCCGCAGGCGGTGCCGCTCGCGGCTCTGGCGTTCGACCGCGTCGGGGAGCGCGTCGGGGTGGGGGAGGGCGGAGGTCGCCGATCTCGTCGTCGTCCTCCCCCCCCTGAGTGTCCTCCAAGAGCCTCCTATTCTCCAAGGTCCTCCACCTCCCTCCCTCCCTCCCTCCGTCCTCCCTCCCTCGAACCTCTCGTCCCTCCGTTTTCCCCTCTCAGTCCCTTCCTCTTCCATCCATCCATCCATCAATCCATCCATCCATCCATCCATCCATCCAGTCGTCCTCATCCTTCTACCGCCCACATCCTCCTCATCCTCCCGCTCCGCCGATCCATCCCTTATCCACGTGCACATTCTCACTCTGCCATTAGACGGCCGGTGGGGTGGGCGGGCCTATCCACCTTACCCATCCACAGGCTGTGCTCCTGGAGGCCCCACCCCGAAGGGTTCTAGACTGGGCGCGCGCTTGAGGGGGACAACAAAAACCGGGGGCATGATCCCGGACAGCAACAACGTGGCATGCGGACAGGCAGCGTCGCTCCCGCGTGGCCCCTCCGCAGGGTAGGATTAAGTCGGGCCTGTCCCTCTACAGTGGGAACATTGAATAGTAGTTAAAGATATTCCGGGGACGATTTCCTAATATTTTCTGAACAACTGTGGTTATGTTTTGAATGTTGTTTAGTTGTTTGTCGAAAATCTGCCTGTACGAGGGGCACGATCCTCGACAAAACGCACGGTTTGATGACAGGTGAGCGATGGAGGAACACGGAGTCGACAGCGCCGACATTTGTTCGTGGAGGAGGAGGAGGCGGAGGAGGAGGAGGAGAAAGAGGAGGAAAGAGGAGGAGGAGGAGGAGGAGGAGGAGGAGGAGGAGGAGGCGGAGGAGGAGGAGGAGGAGAGGAGGAAAGAAGAGGAGGAGGAGGAGGAGGGAGGAGAGAGGTGGAAAGAGGAGGAGATGGAGGAGGAGGAGGAAAGATGAGGAGGAGGAGGGGAGGAGGAGGAGGAGGAGGGGAGGAGGGGGAGGGGGAGGGGGGAGGGGGAGGGGGGGAGGAGGAGGGGAGGAGGAGGAGGAGGAGGAGGAGGAGGAGGAGGAGGAGGAGGAGGAGGAGGGGCACGATCCTCGACAAGACGCACGGCAAGATGGCAGGCCAGCGCTGGAGCAGAGCGGAGTCGACGGCGCCGACATCTGCGCGCCGGCGTCTCGCGTCCGGCCGCGCGCGGGCGCCCGCCTGCATCGGGACGGCGTGCCGCGGCGGTGGCCCGCGTAGGCCACCGCGTAGGGTCGCTGTGCCGCCTCGCCGAAGGCCTGCCTTGCCTTTAGGTCGGGCATGGTCCCCCCTACAGGCTGATGTTCGGACGACCAACAGAACATAGCCAAACCATGATATATATATATATATATATATCCAACCAGGGTCCACAAGGCGTCCCCCCCGTGAAGTCGGGCCTGTCCCTCTACAGGAGGAGTACCCGAAAACAGTCTAACCATATTCTTGGGACGATGTTTTGAATAGGTTGGCCATTCTAGCATTTTTAGTGTATTTGTTACTTTCGCCCAAGATCCCCCTGTTGGGGGACAGGCCCGACCTAGGCCGATCTTCGTCGCTCAGGTGGCGGCGATCCCGCGAGGCCTTCCAGGACGCGGGCCAGTCGCGAAGTGAGAGGAGGCGCGGTAACTGACATCATCAGGGGCTCGTGGAGTGGGGGTAGCGGGGGGGCGCTTCTTGACAACAAAACATGGTATGAGGCCAGGTGGCGGCGTTCCCGCGAGGACTCCCTGGAAGCGGGTCTCGTAGCGCGGGGATGGCACGAGCCCTGCCAAAACAACGAGAATAAACCGGCAATCTGCAGAAAGCGTATTGCTAAGCTTGCCGATTGGAATTCGCGCAGTGGAAAGTGCATGCAGGACGACGTGGCATGCAGGACGAGGTGGATTTCGCCCATGGAAAGGAGGGAAGGATACTGATGAAAGCAGGCGGCGGAGGAGGAGGGAGAGGGAAGAGGAAGAAGTGGCGGATGGTCTGAAGGAGGAGGGGAAGGAGGGGGAGGGGGGAGGGGGATGAGGAGGGGGAGGAAGAGGGGGAGGCGGATGAGAAGAAGGAGGAGGGGGATTTGGGACGGGAGGGTGATGGGGGAAACAGACAAGCTAGGTGCGCTCGCGCCGCTTCTTCCCCACCCACCGACGGGTGCCGTAGCGGACCTGGAATTCCGAAGAGGATGCCACCGTGCTTGCGCAACCAGGAAACAGTGAGCTGCGGACATTGGAGGAGCAGGTGGCAGAAACACAGGAGAATGGCAGAAGGCGAAGGATCAGGGTGAGGAAGGAGGAGGACGAGGACGAACAGCAGCTGGAGTGGAAGGAGGTGGAGGAGCAGGCGGAGGAGGGGACATGGG